TTTCCTTGTCCCGATGAATCTGGGAGATTGGAAAAATGCCTCACCATTCAGTTTATTCTAACAGATATCAACGACGCACATAAACATTCTGTGGCATTGAGACAGCAGGAGCAAATTCACTTATCTAGGTGTTGAGACATCTGGGGTTTGATGACTCAGAGATTGCATTTAAAAATTGTGTTGGATCTAGCATGTCGATGCACTAGGGAACTTTAAAAAGTTATCTTTTAAAACTTACTTGTGTGTAAGAAATGGGGAGAATACTTAGATGCTGCTTGTTTATACAGTGTTGTAAATCACTGACTTTAAGAAAATGTCCATTAAGTTTCTATACAAAAAGGAAAGCATCTTTACTGGGGTTTTTTATATCTGTGAAATATTTAGTTCTCTGCTAAATCTTAGTCATATCTGATAATCCGTGCATTGACAGAGTCACTTGGACAAAACCAATTATAGTCATCCATGACTTTGTAAACAGATATACAGATATAGTTGGGCACAGTGGAGGCTGATTTTTGGAGCAATGATAAATTTACTCTGAGTTTTGCTCCGAACTTTAAAGGAGCACTGGATGTATGGGGACAGTCTATGGTTTGGCAAGGTGCCCAGTATGGTGCAGTGGGTAAAGTGAGGGACTAAGAGTCAGGAGTCTTGATTTCAAATCCCTGCGCAGCCATGGAAGTTCATTGGGAGGATAGGACTGGTAAAACCACTCCTTCAATGTCTCACTTACCTGGGAAACCCTATTAGAGTCACTGTAGGTTGGCCCCAGCGCATAACATGATTCAGCACCTTGGAGAGCTCTTGGAAAGCTTGCAGGGTTCAGCTTCCCTTATACATACCTTCTTTTCATCCATGTAGACAACCCCCACACATGTACACACTTTGTACATAATTAGGAAAGATGTCAGTGTAAATGAACAGTGCTTTAACTATAGGAGATACATGATGCATGTGATAAATAATTACAGTGGTGCCCCGCATAGCGACGTGAATCTGTTCTGGATTAATCGTTGCTATCCAGAATCGTCGCTAAACGGAACTAAAAACCCCATAGGAATGCATTAAACTTCGTTTAGTGCGTTCCTATGGGGCCCAAACTCACAATTCAGCGAAGATCCTCCATAGCGCTGCCGTTTTCGCCACCTCGGTAAGCAAGGGCAGCGCGCGAAAATGCTTGTGGTGGCCATTTTGGGCACCCAGCGGCCATTTTGGAACCTCCAATCAGCTGTTCTAAAAACATTGCAATGCGAAGATCGGTAAGCGAAACGCTTACCGATCATTGCAATGCGATGTTTGCCCATTCAGAACATCACAATGCGATCGCATTAGCGATCCCAAAAAAATAGATCGCTATGCGGATTCGTCGTTAAACGGTGCGCTCGTTATGCAAGGCACCACTGTATGATGTCCCTTTGAAAAGAGACCTCAAGCATGAACACTAATTCTTCCAGAAAGTACTGCTCAGAACATAGCTAGTCTCTTGAGGTTCAGCAAAAAGAAACAAACAGCCATTGCACAGTGCAAATCCGGACCTTAAAAGGACAATTTACTAGATGTTAACAAACAGATTTGTGGTAGTCACACCCAATTCAAGCTAAATCCTATATATATAGCAGTCTTAGATAATATGACATCTTGCGAAGGCTAACCCGGTGGCCATTTTGGAACCGCCGATCAGCTGTTCTAAAAACATCGCAATGCGAAGATCGGTCAGCAAAAAGAAACAAACAGCCATTGCACAGTGCAAATCCGGACCTTAAAAGGACAATTTACTAGATGTTAACAAACAGGTTTGTGGTAGTCACACCCAATTTAAGCCAAATCCTATATATATAGCAATCTTAGATAATATGACATCTTGTGATGTGATTTGCTCGGAAGGTTATATCTTAGAACTGCCGAGCTGGAAGAGACCCTAAGGATCATCCGGTGCAGCCCCTGCCAAGGAGGCTCAGTGGGGGAATTGAACTTCCAACCTCTGGCTCTGCAGCCAGATGCTTAAACCCCAGAACTATCCAGTAGTTCTTATTTATACAAGGCCAAAGGGGGAGGAGAGGGGTTTGGAGCATAGCAAGTCAACGGGATTTGTTCCACTGTGCTGCCGAAAGAGCAGCTTATGTGTCTCAGTGATTATTTTTGAAACAAATGGGCTTGTCTCTCTGTTTTCCACTCCAGAAGAACCGCTACGCTGCAGTGCAAAGCAGCTGCCGTAAATCCAAAATGGGGAGTTAGAGGGGAAATCTGAGGGTTTGCTGTAATCCCAGTTAATTAGGAACTATCTGGCAGGAAAAGCCAGGTGTCTCGATCCCATTCTTGTTCTGTGCTAAGAAGGATATTTGGGGAAAATGATCCGCTTTGAATTCTCCCTTCTGTGCAGCTACCCGTTTGTGTTGAAGCTGAAGCTGCGTTTTGCACATTTTGTTGACCCTAGGGAAGAGGCTGGCATTGCTACAGAATGTAAATGCATAGGGTTGTAGGCTTCTCTGACACCAAGAAGGCTTGCCACCATGATAATGATGATGATGATGATGATGAAGAAGAAGAAGAAGAAGAAGAAGAAGAAGAAGAAGAAGAAGAAGAAGAAGAAGAAGAAGAAGAAGAAGAAGAAGAAGAGAGCAAAAGTTGCTCGAGGCCAATGTTTTGTTTCCACCGTGACCAAGCAAATAGCTATGGAAAGCCCACAAGGAGAACATGAGCACCAGACAAGCTTCTTGCTTTTGCTCTCTAGTAACTCATACTGGGACTTATACAACATCATCTCACATTGCCAGGACTGGGAGATGGGTGGGATTCCAGTTTAGGGGTGGCGGGAATGATGCCTGTCCAAGGAAGTGTGGAAAGGTTTCACAAGTCACAGGCGCTTGCTAGTCAGCACTGTGTGCAGTCACATTCTGCTGTAATCTAAGGGCTTTTGACTTTTGTGAATCTGAGCATTGGACTACTTGACACTGTTGTATTAAGCTTTTGCAGGTCTGCAGCTGTTTGTTTTGGCAAACCATCCTAACAATCCATTAAATAGTGAAATACGGAAGTGTGGAAAGGTTTCACAAGTCACAGGCGCTTGCTAGTCAGCACTGTGTGCAGTCACATTCTGCTGTAATCTAAGGGCTTTTGACTTTTGTGAATCTGAGCATTGGACTACTTGACACTGTTGTATTAAGCTTTTGCAGGTCTGCAGCTGTTTGTTTTGGCAAACCATCCTAACAATCCATTAAATAGTGAAATACGCAAGATAAAGTCACCTGCAGCTGTTTGTTTTGGCAAACCATCCTAACAATCCATTAAATAGTGAAATACGCAAGAGGATATAAAGTCACCATAGATACCTTAGATGGTTCTAAAGAGCACTCTTCTCACCAATGAACTTGTGCAAAACTGTGTTCCTTCCATATGAGCCTCATATATTGTACCAAATCAAAACACAGTCCATTGAGGAGGGCAAGAAGTGGAGGATCACTTCCTAACAGAGAATAAAATTGTGAGGGGGGAGGCTGATGCTGAATACATTAACTGGCTCAATTAGATAGTGTTGCCAGGGCAACCAAGTCTAGAAGGCTTATGAGGAGCTGGTGGTCTTGTCATTGGGTAAATGTGGCTTTGCAGAAGGAGAAGCCTATAAGGCTGTTCACAGAGGAGAAAGCAAGTGACAGAAGACATACTTCAGAGAAACCGGCCTTTGGGAAAAGCAAGGCTACTGTTGTGTTGGTTAGCCAGGAGGAGAAGGGAGAATGTGCCTGGTTTCAGTCCATCATCTTCTGTCTGTAGTCTTCAAGAGGGAAATCCTGTGGGCAGAGGGCAGGAGAAATGCTGCCGTCATGTGTCGGCATTTCTAAAGGGCAGTAAACAGGTGTATTTGGGGAATCACACTGTAGAAGATCTGCTGCAGGTGTACCACTACACCTTGCCATGTCGAACATGCCAGTCTCATCTGATTTTGGAAGCTAGGCATGGGTAAATGTGGCTTTGCAGAAGGAGAAGCCTATAAGGCTGTTCACAGAGGAGACAGCAAGTGACAGAAGACATACTTCAGAGAAACCGGCCCTTGGGAAAAGCAAGGCTACTGTTGTGTTGTGTCAGGACTGGTTTGTGGTTGGATGGGAGCACGCCAGCAAAACTGGAAATCTCCAAGTAGGGTTCTTCCTGAAACGATGGAGAGCTATTGCTTCCAGTCAAACCATACCAGGCTGGATAGATTGGTGATAGATCTCACTCCATGGGAAGGAGCTTTTGATTTTCTCAGCCAGTGGTTCCCCACCTTGGGTAACCCAATTGTTCTTGGACTGCAACTCCCAGGAACCCTGGCCAACAAAGCTGGTGGTGAAGGCTTCTGGGAATTGCAGTCCAAGAACACTTGGGATACCCAAGATGGGGAACCACTGTTCTAAGCTGTTGAAATTCGCTGGATAGTGGCAGTAGTGAACCACCCCTGAAAATCTCACATACCTTGAAAATCTCCTTCAGGTCTCCATAAATCAGAAGTGACTTAAAAGCATGTAACATAACAAAAATCGGTTAAACAATACCATTCGCAACAACTCCTGATGATGCTGTTTAAGAATACCCTATATGGAGCTCAGGAGTTCAGTTATCCAGCTGCAGAGCCAGATGTTAAGAGTTCAATTCTTCACTGCATTGCCTCCTGGGAGAAAAGCCAGCCTGGGTGGCCTTGGGCCAGCTGCACAGTCCCAGGTGTCCCCCCCCCCCCGAAGAAAGGAATGGGAAACCACTTCTGTGTATTCTCTACCTGGAAAACCCTGGAAAGGGCTTATTGACCTAGTAAGCAATTATTATATCATTATGTACAGACAATACTTTCGCCACTTAATTGCTCTGCCTGTCCCTAATCCTGCAGATTTCTCCTGGTGCCTCTTTTATAAGATGCTGGGCTTTTCCAAGTGCCTCGTCAGCTAATGGGGAGTCTTCTGCAGCTGACATCGATGGTTTGACCATCTTGGAGATGGTTTTTTTTCAGAGAGTCGTGTCTTCCTCCTCCTCAGGTGTATGAAAGAGGGACTAACGTGGACCAGTTCGTCACCCGCTTCCTGCTGAAGGAAACAGCCAATCAGATCCAGTCCTTGCTCAGCTCCGTGGAAAGTGCCGTGGACGCGATTGATGAGCAGACCAATCAGATAAGGTGAGATTTCATCCATTCGGCTTCATAAAATCCATCTTCATCTCACTACCAGCTGCTTTTTCTACCTTGGAATTTTCCCCAAACAGAATCTGGGCCAGCTGGCCCTATCATTAGGCAAAGTGAGGTTGCAATATCCAGGCAAGGGATTGTCGGTGTCATGAAAAGCTGGCAAACGTTAGGAGAAATGTATTACTATTGACCTTTTCCGCCATGGTTGGAAAAAGCATTTATGAATTATTCTGCCTCATGTTTCCTAATTTGATCGGTTTGGGGAACAGAGTAGCTTGGCTGGAGAAAGCCGCAAAATATCCTGAGTTTGAAAGTTTGCTGAGTTTGATGTTTTCGGCCTCCTTTTTTCAGGATGGGGGGGAGAACTCTCCTGTCTGTTGAGTCCAGGTGAGTTTCTCTGCCAGCATGGGAAGTAGTCTTATCCATGAGTTCTTGGCAAGTCCCCAGGGCAGCCTTGTGAGAATTCAGCATGGTGGACAGTTGAGAGGCCCAGCCACTCAATGCCAGAATATCTTTCTAAGGGCCTGAAGAGTTAGACATCACATACAAAATACACCCGATTTCCAGAATCCAGATCTGGAACTGTGGCAGTGTAATACTCCAGGTATTTACTGTGAGTTAGATGCAAACAGGCACAACCCCATTTGTAACACACACCACGTTTCAGTTTGTATTATTCCATTCCTCTTGGCTTGCCCACCTTTCCAACAGCCCCAGCCTCCTTGGCATCATCCTGCTCCAGACCCCTTTTCTCCTCTCATTCTGAGATGTACAGGTAAAAGGCAGAACACCAAATCACAGCTCTGACACATTTTTCAACTGCAGGAGGGCTTGGCAGTGCATACGGTGACATGAATCACGGTGGATTCCCTCTGTTTTTTCTGTAGGGTGTCATTTTGGCCCTGGTAGCCACCTGAGAACATCCTCTCCTCCTTTCTGTACGGCAGGTAGCCCAAGACGGTGGCTCCCAGAATCCCCCACCTGGAGGACCTTTGGCAGTAGAAGTCTACAAATTATTATTATTATTTTTTTACTTTGCCAAGCTCTGAGTGGAATGGCAGAAAAGTCAGAGAGGCAGCATGCTGGATTGTTAATTTGAGTGCTGTGTCTTCCTCAATAGGACTTTAAGGGGATTGGAATCAGCAGTGAATTCAAGCAGTGAGAAGGAAGCTGTCAGAAAGATCCTCGGCTTCTTTTTTCACCCCCACCCCCTTGAGTTTTTGCAACAACAACAACAGAGTAGCAGAGGAAGGGGAAAGAATGGAAACTGGAAGGGTTCCCAAGACACACACACACACTGCCTGAGTTATGGTTCTTGAAAGCCATGTCAGGATGAAGGGTCCGACATGGCTCCACAAAGCAGGCAGCTCCTTGACCAGACCCCACCACTGGTTGCTATGGAAATGGGGGAGGGAGAGCTAGACGCTCCTGACCAGAGACTTTCCCCCTCTGTCTACTCTTAAATTAAAGGGAATAAACAGCAGGTCACAAAGACGTAGCAGTTCGTCAGGGGAAGATCTTTCCATTTTATGCGGTCTTATAAAAGTGAATTGGGCGTCAAGTCCGTTAACAGCCCCACGTTGAATTCTTGCCCTCCACTTCTCTGACCCAAGAGGTTTTGCTGCCTGAGGTGAAGACAAGTTGGTGCTATATCACCATAGGGTGGTTGACTGGATTGCCAGCTTACCTTTGTTTACTGAGTGCACTACTGTCGTAGACTGCTCAGCAAAACTGCAGAAATCACAAGCAAACTCACCGTATGCAAGCGTGTGCAGAAATGCAGTATTTAGTGATTTGAGATTAAAATGACTCAACGAGATCAAGACAAGTTTGCAGTGGCCGTGCTTTGTCCTTGTTGAATCATAAAGTAGCTTGGTGGCCAATGACAGAGTAGCAGAGGGACTTGTACCAGATAAACTATAAGATACATAAAATTTGCCTTCTGTCCTGGGAAATCTAGAAAGGGTTAATACCTGCTTGGCATTTTGATAAAAAAATAATAATCTGGCAGCTTCTGAGATTGCCTAGTGAACCCCACCTTAAAACTATAAGATACATAAAATTTGCCTTCTCTCCTGGGAAATATAGAAAGGGTTGATTAATACCTGCTTGTCATTTTGATAAAAAAATAATAATAACCTGGCAGCTTCTGAGATTGCCTAGTGAACTCCACCTTGGTACTGCTAATGAGTAGCATCTTCTGCCATGCTGGAGGGCAGCAAAACAATTTAGGGATTAGAGAGCAAGATGCTTCTAGTACGCACAGATGTTTCTGCCAAGAGTAGAGAATGACCAGACCATTCAGGGAGATCCATCAAGGAAAGATCAGCTGGTGCATCAGGTCGTATGAGAAAGGTTCTGGGTTCTGCTGCCTAATGGTAGGGACGGCCTTGCAGGTAGTAAACATAGACCTGACTGGGGCTGCATGTCCCAACAAGGATAGTCCCATTGAGTCAGTAAATAATACGGAGGGGGGCACTGTGAACGGCGGCTTTTGCGTGATCTCCTGAGACTCAACACCAAAAACCATATAATTAAAGTAACACCTTTGGTGTTTTTTTTTTCCATCCAGAAATGAATGCCAGGTGCCTCTCCATCTAAATGGGTGCAGATGAAGCATGTAATCAAAAAGTTGATTACATGGTTCATCTGGTGGGAAGTGATTGTCTTGAAGTGGCTGAGTTGGATGTAGGAAGTTTAGGAACTGTGGTTGTAAAGAGTGAAGTTTCCACTTTTTGACTGGCAATGGATTCCCCGCGGCCAGAGGATAAGACTGGATCTCCTCCATCTAGGGTGGAGGGAAAGATAAGTGCTCTGCTGGAACATATTCTTTGGCCTCCACCAAAAGCTCCCGGTTATCTATAGTGATAATAACCATGTAATCTCAAGTCAATTCTGACTTACGGCAACCCTTTTCAGAGTTTTTGATGTAGAAAATACCCAGAAGTGGTTTCCCATTCCCTTCCTCTAGGGGGCAGTTCTGGGACTGTGCAGCTTGCCCAAGGCCACCCAGGCTGGCTCTTCTCCCAGGAGGTTCAGTGGGGGAATCGAACTCCCCATGTCTGACATGTAACTAAGCTATCTAACCAGCTCCCCAAGTGATCAAACCTTGCTTGTTCAGCACCGTGACAGCAGCATGGATCTGCAGGTGGAGAACAGGCAGTTTGAGAAAGGAAAGGACTCCCCACCCGGTTCTCCAGATGCACCTCAACAAGGGAGTGAATTTACGCCAGCTCCATTTAACAAACAAACAAGGGGGAAAAACACAGCTCACTGCATTATTTTCCACTCTCTTCTGCCCTGCTGGGTTCACCGTGGCACTGGCTGTCTTGGAGGCTACAGGGTCAGCGCTCCTGAGAAACGCAATAGAGTCGCTCTGTTAAACAACAGCATAGACAAATGCTTGGTGTTTACCAGTCAGCAGAGTACAAACAAGCTTGATAAGAATGTGACCTCTTGGTAAAGCGTGCTTGCTGAGTTCTTTCTTCCTGTCTGTCTAGCCAGTCTCTGCTTCATGGTATCCCTTCACCTCTGGATGGGAGCAAAAGAAGGAGTGCCTTTCCCCCACCTCACCTCAAGATCTTTCTAATTTGTGCAGATTCGCTCTGCGTAAAAATAATGTCCTTTGTCTTCAAGATTTAGAGCAGCGCTCCCCAACTTTGGGCCTCCATAGGTTCTTGGACTACAACTCCCAGAAGCCTTCGCCACCACCTCTGCTGGCCAGGATTTCTGGGAGCTGAAGTCCAAGAACATCTGGAAGCCTAAGTTTAGGGATCACTGATTTAGAGTATGCACAGAGAGAGTAAGCAGAGCATGATGAATTGATTCCTTGAAAGTTGTCCAAGAAATCCCACCCAGCTCATACTTAAAACCTCATCCTACAGAGCAACAACCATCATTGGGTGCAAATTTCTGCTCCTATCAGCACGAAAGCATAATTTGCACAATTGTACTCAATCCTGAGCCAGTTCCTCCTGAACACTGAATGTGTCACACAATTTTGGATAACTTTGTCACAGCCAAGAAAGTTGAAGACCTAGAAAGAGCAACTTAAAGGCAGGTCCACATTGGGAAAGATCAATGAAATGGGATTGTGAGTGATAGATGATCAGGGTGATGGTTTCTCTTCCCCAATCCAGGGGGGAGGCTGTTTGAACACAGTTCTTGGTCCAGGACAGAGTTTAGAAGTAACTAGTTTAAATAACAGATTAATTTTTGATTAATAAAAAATCAGCAATGAATAATATAATCAGAAACTGTAAAGATACTTTTTAGATGTACTGAGTAACACCAAAGTTACTTTGATGAAACAAGTAACTGCTACTTACTCTCAGAAACTACTTTTAAAAGATGTTTTAAAGGATTTTAGAGGCATTCTGTCAAGAATATTTCAGGTTTTCTGCCATTCTCTTAGGAATTCTAAATGACAAAGGAAGTTTTCTTTGGTTTTGTTCTTTTATAAATATTTTCTAGATGCTATAGCAAAACTAACCACTAGGGGGACTAGACAATATATCTTTTTATTTTTCTGGGCTTTGTCATGGACAAGGCATCATGTTAATCATGAGCAATACAACAAATTGCTTGTGCAATCAGAGCAAGGGCGATGATGATGGCAACCCAGCGGCTGAGAAGTAATTAGTGATACAGTGAGTTCCTCTTTAAAATGTAACATTCCAAGGCCTGTTCCAGAATAATTCTAGGGCTGGACGGGTAGATCCTGGATATGCTTAAGGAAGGAGTATTTACCAATGGGATAAATAAACAACAACATATTTTTCCTGCATTTTCATGAGTTTGTTTATTCTTTTCTACTGTAGAAACTTGCACAGTAAATCGGGCCAGAGTGCCGTGGATACCTGGTATGACAACCCTGTGCCTACCTATCCTCCCAACAACAGAGTCATGAACAAAGAACGCAGGAAAAGCTTCCAAACGGGTGAGTGTTGTGATGAATATCAGGAAACGAACCTTGATCAGACCGGCGGCTGTCTATCAGTCCACGGAGATCAGTGGAAGGTTGATCAATGGGTCCTGGTGACAAGAGATATTCTTCTAAGAGCTGGAAATCTCTCTCAAACCTTTGGCATGTACTGCCCATCAGACTGCAGGAAGGTGATGCTTTCCCAATAGTGTGATGGAAACAAAACCATAGAGACCAGATTGCATTTGTGGTGCCTCGCTTGATGATGTTAATTCATTCCAGCGAAATCACTGTAGAGTGAAAACGTTGTCAAGCGAAATAAAAAAGCCCATTGAAATGCTTTGAAAACCGTTCAGTGCATTCCAATGGGCTGAATACCTGCTCATTCAGCGAAGATCCTCCATACGGCGGCCATTTTTGGGTGCCTGTTAAGTGAAAAATGCCATTTTGAGCAGCTGCCATACGGTGGCCATTTTTGGGTGCCTGTTAAGCGAAAAATGCCATTTTGAGCAGCTGCCAACCATTTTGAAAACCTGACAATCAGCTGTTTTGATAATCATAATGTGAAGAATCGGTTCCTGAAGGAGGGAACCGATCGTCTCAAAGCAAAAAACCCCCATTAAAACATTGTTTTGCGATCGCAATTGTGATCGCAAAAACATTGTCATGAAGCGGATTCGTCATAGAGCAGGGTAATCGTCCAGCGGGGCACGAGTGTATTTCAGACAAATAGGTGAAATATCCCTAGGCGTGGATGAGCAAATGTAGATCTGTGGAACTCGGTGCCCACGTTTCTCCATCCGAATTTTGATCAGAGAAACGGGATGGCAAGGGCACTATTTAACTGTATTTATTAAAATCCATCCATGCTAGTTTAGGAGGTGCCTTCTAGCCATGTGCACCCATCCTTAACTTTATTGTTAACAAAAACTAGGGTATGATGAAGTTAAGGATGGACACATGAGCCTAGATTAGGACACTTCGTAATTTAGCACCAGGGGAACCTGTAGCTGGCTGGATAACTTAGTGATTTAGGTCTCTGGCTGTGCAGCCAGCGGTTGCATCCATGCTAGTTTAGGAGGTGCCTTCTAGCCATGTGCACCCATCCTTAACTTTATTGTTAACAAAAACTAGGGTATGATGAAGTTAAGGATGGACACACGAGCCTAGATTAGGACACTTCGTAATTTAGCACCAGGGGAACCTGTAGCTGGCTGGATAACTTAGTGATTTAGGTCTCCGGCTGTGCAGCCAGAGGTTGCAAGTTTGATTCCCCTCGGTGCCTCCTGAGAGAAGAGCCAGCCTGGATGGCCTTGGGCAAGCTGCACAGTCCCAGGGCGCCCCCGGAAGAAGGGAAGGGTCAACCATGTCTGAGTACTCTCTGCCTGGTGAACCCTGAAAAGGAGTCCCATAAGTCAGAATTGACTGGACGGCTTATTGTTAGGAAAACGAACGGAAGCATTGTTTTCTTCACACAACAGCTTTCCCCCCCTTCCCTGGGATAGGAACATTTCATCCCAGTGACCAAGCTGCCAGTCTTAGACTTCTAGGGAAAGAGATGTGCCCTTGGGCAAAGCTCCGTGTGCCCCGATTAGTTTACAGCCCTGCAACTGACAGGCTGGATGAATCAAATGGCCACAAACCGGGCCCTTCCTTGCCCAGGGCTATTTTCTATCCTCATCATAGCATGTCTTTCTTTCTGCAGCTTCTTCAGACACCAAGGAAGAAGGCTTGGAAGCTCAGATCAACCGGTTAGCAGACTTGATTGGAAGGCTGGAAAACCAGGTGGGTCAGAATCAGAATCAGGGCGTTCTTTCTGAGACCGGCAACTGCTTATAATGCAGTGCGAAATTTCTTGATATTGTTCTGCTCTTGATATTGTTCTGTTGTATATTGGTAGATATTTGAGATTACTTTTGATTTTCAGAGGAAGGAGTATTGATCAAAGATTTGTTTGGTTTGCCTCTTATTTCTACCAGACATTGTGGTGCAATCTTGCTCATCAGTGTTCTTCAGCTACTCATCGTTAATGCAGGATTTTTATATCGCAACTTGATCAACATAGCTTGTTTTTTCACTCTTTTGAAAACTGGCCCGCCTCATTAGGGTGTGACCTTCTGGAATCACGATGCTGGTGCCTAGACATGCTGAACAGAGACACGAATAGGCTATGTCCAAAGTTTTAAAGTGTTCATGCCTGCGCTGTAGGAATAGATATGCCCCGTATGAAATTGTATGCGTGACACAACTCAGAAAAAATACAAGCAGCGCCTTATTGACAGGCTAAGTAGTGAGTGGGAGGAGAAACTCACAGAATAGGGAGTGGTGGGGGGGGAGAGAGAAGAGAAAAGAGGATGGGGACCTTTTTGAAGTCATAAATGCCATAGCAGAAACATTGCCCTTGAATTTTTGTAAAGCAAAAAGTGAGGAGGAAGACCAGAATCGATGCAGACGAACATGTTGAAATGAAAAAGTCATGTAAAGAGCATTATGCAAAAATGTACCATTGGCTACAGAAGAACAGAGGTGTGCATGGCCATCACCAAGGTCTCGCATATATGCACGGAATACAAAGGAATGTTTGCTTGTAACATTTGCTTATGTATGGCAGCAATGCTGTTGAAATTCTCCTTGCCTGCATTTCTCCCTGGAGTTTGAGTTTGGAATCACGCAGGTGATTCCGAAGCGGGCGGTCTTTTTCTCAAGGTGAAGCTAGATGTAATCAGAACCATTTCAGTCCCTTGTTCCGTTCTTGCAATTTCCCCTTTTTTCCCCTTCTGACGCCATAGTTCAGGCATTTGTGGCAACTCAACACAGGAGAAGCAATGCATCTTCTCTTCAATTAACTCATTATCCATCTTACGGTGGGATTTCCACAGAAACGTATGCCTCAACAGCGAGACTTTCAAATTAAACCTGTGCTTACTATCCCCGAACACAACACTGTGAATTAGGAAAGTATATCTTTTTTTTCCTCTTGCCCTCACAAGTGAGGACCAGCCACTAGAATGTTCTTCTCGTCACTGGTGAAATGGTGGGAAATTTCCTGAATGACATTCTGTACAAAATGGCACAGTCACCAAAATTCGCTGAAAAGTACTTAATATACCATCTGGTTTGACCCTCAGAGAACAAACAGCCTTCCAGGCTAGCCAGCCTGAGAGAGGATGTTAACCCCCTTTGCCAATGTTTCCAAAGTAAGATTCAGAGTCAGGTCCTGCTGATTATTTTTACATGGAATAGAAGGGGGGCCACCACTTTTTACTCCCCTTCCTTCACAGGCCAAATGTCTGGGGCCAGCCTTGCAGGGGTTGGGGGCAGGACCAGTAATTGCAAACTTTCACATCTTGCAATCTTCTTTGCAACTGAATGGATTGCTGTACCAAAAAAAGCGGATAGCCTCGCTCTCCCTAGACCTTGCACAATCTTGGGTTGGTGTGTGTTCATGAATAAAATGTTATAAGAGATGGAGGAGAATTTTCTTAGTCTGCCGTTTACAACTATTTTTCCCCTCTGTTTTATTTTTTTATGACCATATTCCATGTCTTGGATTAACACACAGAATACAACCCAGTCATCTTTTTGACTGCATCCCCAGAGGTAGCTGTGCAGGTCTTTGCTTTTTGTTTTTTTAATTGCACATAGACATGTGTGCATTAGACAAGTCTGTCTGCGAAAATGTCTAGAAAAAGGAATGTTGTGTTAGAATAATAAATGCACATTTTTATGCATTGAGAAAGGTGGATGAGGAAATTGGAGGGAATGGATTTTTTGGGGGGGACTTAGATGCAAAACCGACACCGGCCCAAAACAGATCAATACAGTTACGCATGCATTTTGCTTGTTGCCATCGAATAACATCTAATTCTTTGCACGTGAGCTCAGGAGCAAATAACTATTTAGTTTGGCAGAGCTCACTCCCAAGAGAACTGACTTGCAGCCATTGGGTCTTATCTTACATTCATGGACTACTTAATGTTATAAAGCCAAAATGAAGTTGTCGGCATTCAGCTGTCATCCAGTTCCTCCCCTTCTGGATTTTTTTGTAATCACTGCAAAAAAACAAAAAAACAAAAAAAAAAAAAGAAGAAGAAGAAGAAAAAGAAAAAGAGAGAGAGAGAGAGAAAAAAAAACTCTCCTTTGTTCATCTTGTCTTTTTAAAAATGTATCACAAGTGGAGCTATGAAATTGTGCTTTATTGCATGTGCAAGAAATAGGTTTATCTCTGTGCTATTTTAAAGGTGTAATTTTGTTAGCTATTTCAAACCCGCCTTCTTTCCTACACACGCAAACACAAAATAGGGCCTTCTTCCCTCTTATGGTCTGTTTCTCTGATTATGAAAATAGGCATTTTACAAATAGCTCTATTCCCACTGTTACCGTGTACTGTACAATGAGTGTACCAAATACGGTCTAGCCTTCCTAGTAGGTAAAAGGAACATATTTTCTCCTCTGTATCCACCTAATTTGGAACAGGGTTGGGTCTACTGTGTCCCTCCAGAGGGGGTTTGCCCCCAAGTACCCTCGGTCTCATCCAGTGGACAGGAACGATGGGAGCTGTAGTCTTACAACAGAATTGCTGGATAGCTCAGTGATATACATCTCTGGCTGCACAGCCTGAGGTTGGGAGTTTGATTCTGCCCCCCCCCAACCCAGCTTCCCTGAAAGGGGCTGGACTCAATGATTCAAAGGGTCCCTCTGCTTCCCTGAAAGGGGCTGGACTCAATGATCCAGGGGGTCCCTCTCAGCTCTGCAGTTCTAAGATTCTTATTATTTTAAATTGAGAGTCACGTGTTTCCTTATCTTTGGGCTCTGAGTTGAATTTATTGACCTGGCATGAGTTCTGTCCTCCCTTGATTTAAAAGCCAAGGGGGTAGCTGTCTCTTGAATGAAAGATTTATTTGAAAAACAGAATTGCCCAGCAATGTGTTATCAATAATTCAAAGTGCAGTCCGGTAGCAAAGTCATGCTCTGCTCCAGATTTGCATGGATATGCACCAGAGATTGAATTTCTGAGGAACTGGGTTGGGAAGCAGACTCTGAAGAATCGCACTTCTAGTAGCTTGTGAGACACCCACAAAAAAGCAAAAAGTTGGGTGGTGGTGTATGTATCGACACAAGTTGTGCGTTCTCTTATGCTCCTTGTTTCCAGGCAGATTCATGCTCCTGGAAGCGGTGGTCTCCCGGCAGTACAAGCCATCGTTTGGAAAAGTGTGTGTGTGCCTTTTTGGAAGACAACTTCCAAAATTTGGAAGTTGTAGTCCACAATAATCATTTTTTCCCAAGCTGTGGGAGAGGCCAGGCAGAAAGACCACATGGGACCTGAGTTCCCATCCCTGTTTTAGTTCCACCGATGCGTAGACCTTCAAAGAGGTTGGAACCATTTGCCGGATCACCGTTGAATAAACGGCACCTGCTAAGATTTAGGCTGTCCCTAGGAGAACATTAAGGGGGTTTAGATTTTTCTAGGGCACAGGACAGTGAGATGTGCAGCCTTAGGAGAGGAAACATGTTAAGGGGAAAGACAGTTGAGCAAAGAAAGCATCAGAGCAATTGCTTTGAAAGTCTCTAAGAGCTGCAGTACAAGCAGACCATCATCATCCTTATTGAAGAGTCTGCGGAGAAAAAGACCCCATGGGATGCTTTCCCTGGCACATGTTAAGGGGAAAGACAGTTGAGCAAAGCATCAGAGCAATTGCTTTGAAAGTGTCTAAGAGCTGCAGTACAAGTAGACCTTCATCATCCTTATTGAAGCGTCTACGGAGAAAAAGACATTTGCCATGAATTTCTGGGACATTCATTCCTAATGTTCTACACTGCCCATAAATTGCTTCAGAAGAGATTTTTAATCCACAAAAGCTTGGATTAATTTAATTTTTTTAAAAGTGGTCTTATAAAGGTGTTGCATTTCTCCACATCTGTATTGTGTAATGACCACACAGCTTCGTTTGAGTTTTTTTATTTTCCTAGTCAGAGGTAAGTCCCAGTGCATTGGGGGGGTCTTACTCTTGAGTAACGCTTGGGTTGCGACCTTCTGAGGTATCAGAGGGCTACATGAGTTCTCCCTAATCCCACTGGGAGCTTCTTCAGTGCTTGTAAAAGTTACTTTTTTGGATTTCAGCTCCCAGAGTTCCTCAGACAGCAGAGCTGAAAGGTGTTCTGGGAACTGTAGTTTGGAAATGTCCCATTTCCACACCCTCAGCTGCTATTCTTCGAAGTGTCGTGTTCCCCCCTCCCCAGCTGCATAAAATCATTGTTTTATTTCTTGGTAGACTCTCTTTTTTTCCCCCTTGAAAAATTAGGACAGTGCATGAATAAAATTCCTGCAATGTCCATTGTGTGCCAAAGGAGGAATTCTGCCATTTTAAGCGGTGGACGCCACCACCCCAAAGAGAGTGCAGATACAAAATGGGTTGCAGAAGAGATGCATGGATGGGTGTTCCAGTGCAGTTATCTTCTTCAAATAAAAGCAGACAGAAATCAACCATCCCCAGGCAGCCCCATTGGACTGCAGGAACTTGCAGGCTTCTTATAAATACCAATTTGAGAAACAGCCCCTTTCAAGGCGCTGGCAGGGAAAAGCACAACTAGCAGGCTACAGTGCCAGCCCAAGTATTACGTGCTTTTCTCTCTTTCTCCTCCATCGTGGGACTTTGTTAGCAGTGTTAATGTTAACAGTCAACATAATGGCAATTCAACGTGTTAAAAACTTTCCCCCCTCCATCTCGCGCACTATTAACAAAATGTGTTAAGACTCTTTGGCTAACTTTTGAATGCCTGTGGGAAATTCCCCTGCCTCTACGTGTTTGGGTGGCTTTCTGCATAACAGCTCGAAATGGGAGAAATCTTCAGTGACTCCCTAGAAGAATCAGAATATCACATTCCATTTGTGTTGTCATAACGACTGGGGCCCTCTGTAAAAAAATAATGATCCTTCTAACCATAAATTTAGATACTGGTTGTCTAGACAACATACTATGCTGAGGGTGGGGGGGGGGCGGTTGCTTCAAGATCACCATGGTGGGGCTTAGATTGCACGTGCACCTCTGAGAATTATATTCGGGAACAAAATCTGCACCTTGCCAGCCCTTTGCCCCTGTTGGCAGCAAGCCGGGCGATGCCCATGAGAGGATTTACACTGAGATTAGGAGGACATGAACATATGAGCCATCCTTGAAATGAGGGAATGTGTGCCTCGCTGTTGTGCTTTTCAAAACATCCTCGAAGGGTCTTCCCAATATTATAACAGTATGGCTTGGGAGGAAAGGAGGTGTTCTGCCTCCTATCCCACAGCCCTTCCTTTCCCATTAGTTATTTAAGATTAGTTATTTGTTCTACAATGCTCAGAATCCCCTAACCAGCTTGGCCAGTGGAACTGAAGTCCAAAAACTTATTTTTCCCATCCCTGTCCATGATGCAATGTTTGAGGGGCCCGTCAGCCTTAGTAGAGTTTTGGGGTCAGGGCAATGAGGAGAGGATGGGTTGTTGCTTTCTTGAGAACCTCTTTATATTATATTCCCATAGCTTTGTAGCAGAGGGGAGAGGGTTAAAGCCACCGATATCAGCAACAGGCAGAAGATATACTGGGTCCCTATCAGTAGATCTCCACACAAGGAGGAGACCATCAGCAGGAGTTTCCACATCTTAATGGCAAAACCAAGAAACTTTGCCCCCTTCAATGGATTCCTAAAATCAAGAAACAGGTGGCAGATCACTTTTTGAAAGATCGTTGTCCATCTTAGTCATGGTGCTGTCATTCTCTGTATCCCATTTCATCTTGATCCCGTCTACACTTACCATGTATAAAGGGCATGCATTCATGAGGATGGTACCCTAAGCATCAGAGAAAGAACTTGCTAAAATAAATCTTGTTGGCCTTAAAGGTGCCAGAAGAATCTCTCCCCCCACCCCCAACCTGCCCATTGTTTTTCTATATAGTGTTAAAGACATTCATGTTCCAGTTTTCCTTCCAGAGGATCAAGGAAGACTTCAGTGTTTTCTCCAATCCTCTCGACCGTGCTGTGCAATAGGGCCAGGGTCCCCCTGTCATTTCCATAGCAGAGAAGAGATTTGAACTCAGATCTCCAACAGCTTTGTCCAGGGTTCAAAACAGCTGCCCCCACCCTAGTTCCTATTGCCAGTCCACACTTACCTCTCTTCATGGACTTAGATATTTGCAAGTCAACAGAGGCTACAAAAATGCTTGTTGTCTGCCTGCGGAGGCTGCCTCTTCCAATTACTTAGAAGCATCTGCCATGTGAGGCTTCGGCTTGCAAAGCACACCGGCTGTCTTCCTTTCCCCCATTAACACCAATCCAGGTGATTCACGGGGTTTCTGCTGCAGGTGGGGACAGAGTTGCCCATAGGGGACCATCATTTCCTTCCTTTTGACGCACATCACACTGCGAAGGGAGGCGTTTATCACTCTCAAAGCCATGGGAGAAAGGAAGGAGTCACCGATTAAGTCATCGATTTGTGTTACGCACTAGGACAGCACATTTTAGGCCCACGTGCATGATTAGATGCCTCAGTGCGCCCTCCTTAGAGTAGCCACCAGCTCAGAAATCCAGCAGCAACAACCCACACAGCCAACAAGTGTGAGAGAGAGCAAGAGAAGGGAGGAAGCGAATCTATCTGCCTCTTAGCCCACCTAATATGTTTTTTCTCATCTGAAAATGAGACGGTTTTCGCACACAGCTGTACCAGTGTGATAACAGCTGTAAGTCCCATGATTCTGTCTCAAGCATGCTGGGAGTTGTAGTTCAGCGAGGGACTCTGAATCCTCTGCCAGAAATCTCTTATTTCTGGATTCTTGCTCCAGAGAATTCTTCACGCCTCATCAAACAACAGATCCTAGAATGTGGTAGGATTTTATCAGGCGTAGCTGCTCCCTGGAGCATTTGCTGTGCACCCACAACCATTCCTGTGCCATGGCTTTGCCTTTTAATGCATATATATGTCTATATGATTCCTTCCCAGCAGACCCTTTGGTTTGACCTCCACCAACGATTGTCGGACAGCGACAACACAGCCTGTGCGGTGAGTAATCACAGAACTCTGCCCTGTCTTTTAAAAAAGAGACTATGTTTGTGTATGTGAGTTACCAGGATGAGGGAAGGCCTGGTTCTTCTCTCCATTTATCTCAGCCTCCATCTAGAATAACTCGAAAGGTCACTTCTCCTTTGCATGAGCCCAGAGATGTTTAATGAACATCTTCCCCACTGGGGATTCTGGGGTTGCCCATCCCACACGAAATGTTATCTCAGCCATGGGGCCCAATTTCTCTTTCCCTTGACTCAAAGAGATGGAAGCCAGCTACCACTTTCATAGGGTCTGGAATGGGGCCCAATTTCTCTTTCCCTTGACTCACAGAGATGGAAGCCAGCTACCAGTTTCATAGGATCCGGAAGGCTTGTTGTGGGTTTTTCATGCTGTTTGGCCGTGTTCGGAAGGTTGTTCTTCCTAACGTTTCACCAGTCTCTGTGGCCATGGGCATCTTCAGAGGACTGGAGTAGGAATTCTGTCTTTGCTCTGGTGCAGTTTGTGGAAGTTCTGAAGAACACAGACAAAGTTCTAACTCCTGTCCTCAGAAGATGTTGGCCAGAGAGACCGGCAAAACGTTAGGAAGAACCACCTTCAGAACACGGCCAAACAGCCCGAAAAACCCACAACCACCATCAGATCCCTTCCGTGAAAGCCTTCGAGCTCTGGAAGGCCTCCTCCAGGGGTGACTTACTACCAGATTTTAACCATTATAATTTAAAGAGTCTTCCACATTCAACAACATTAATGCAAAGTAGAAAACCTGGATGGTACAAATGTTGCAAGGAGCAAGCAAAATGCACATGGGCGTTCTGGGTGGTCAACACAAAATCATAATTTTGACATACTTAGCCTCGCATCTCTGTTGTTTCTCCCTGGTTGCTGTTCTAGGGATCAGCTCTCCTTTGTGGCCAGAGGGAGAGAGAAGAAAGCTAGCTGTTGCTGGATATTTAAAAATTCCTGAATCAGACCAATACCTTTTCTTTGGGCATTAACCTTTCCCATCCTCTCCACTTATGTATGTTGTTAAAGCTCTCACATACTTATATGGACTCTTGACATATGTTGATCATAGAATCATAGAATAATAAGAGTTGGAAGGGGCTTATAAGGCCATCCAGTCCAACCCACTGCCCAAGGCAGGGATCCAGAGGGCTGTCCAGTTTTCCCTTGAATACCTCGCAGCGCTGTAGCACTCACTACCTCCTGAGGCCATGGGCTCCATTGCTGTACTGCTCTAACCATTGAGAAGTTTTTTTCCTGATATATTCAGCCTAAATCTGGTATCCTGTAGCTTGAGCCCATTATTACATGTCCTAATAACACAGCTGAATCGGCCATCTTAACATTTTTAATTAATTGTTTTTCTTACTAAATGACATTAATGCTCTTACATTACCTATCAAGCCTGTTACATCACTACAAAGATGGGACAAATGCCTGCTTTTTCTGATCTAAGCAAAACACAAGTTTTCCCCTTGTCTCGACTGTGATTTCAATGGCTGTTCCCTTCTTTTGTTGTGTAACTTCTAAGTTACTTTTATAGTAGCTGTTGCAAGTGTTGAAGTAAGAACATAGGCCATTAGTGCTCATTATGGATTATTAACTGGAATGTAACTATTTCATTTCTTTTGAGTAACAGGAAAGTGTTCATCTTTTCAAAACAGGAACTATAATCTTTGCTAGCTGCTTTTCTGGGGTTTCAAATGATGATTCTAATTTTGTTACCTCCCCAAGTTTCTTAGTGCAGAAAGAGAAAAGGGCCTGTTTTCACTGCCCCCCGTATTAACTAATGCACCACTATTAATAACTAATGTGCTTTCAAGCTACAGTTATTGTCAGCAATGCTGTTGGCTTTGGGATGTGAGCAAGGTTAACCAGGGAAATTACTTTTCTAATCAAATCCAGCCGCTTGTGATTAAAAAAGCAACTGGAGTATGAAAGTGGTGCCCGAAAATAGCTTGCCGTCACAGCTCAAAAGCGTGTTCGTTTTTCTTCCCAGAGTGTCTTATCTGGAGAAAAGTAATATTCAGGATTCAAAAAAAAAAGTGGGGAGACTGAGGATCCATCTGCCATTGTGTCGCCTTGTATAGACAGACCGCTCTAAAACAAGCATGGAGCTTTGAAGAATTATTGAAATTTAAAGGGAGTTGCATTTGGGTTAATGTGCCATGCTTCATTTGCAGCCGAGAGGTTGTGCATACTGCGCACCCAAGCTCAGTACGGGTGAGAGTTATACGTGGGCTTCATTTACAACTCTGATCCTTCAAGCATCAAGCAAGGAAGGAATCTCTAGAGGGGGAAAAACTTACTCTTGTCATCTTAATGAAAAGCCCAACATCTCTTATAATTTCCCGCTCTGTCTCTTTAGCCACTATAGCAAAGCAAAGCAGGCTGCTTCTATACTGCCCCCCTAGTGCTTAAAGCATCCCCTGGGCAGTATACAGTTGAATTGTGCGAGCTACACATTGCCCCCACATCCAGCCGGCTGGGTGCTCGATTTGCCAACCTCAAAAGGATGGAAAGCTAAGTCAACCTTGAGTTGGTTACCTGAGTCCATCCAGACTGAACTCAGGTTGTGAGCAGTCTTGACGGCAGTACTACAGTTGAAACCCTGTGCCACGAGGCTCCTACACCACACCACCAATTCTGAAGCCATTCAAGGCTCATGGATATTGAGCACCTCCTTCTGCTTTTGTTTCTGCCTCAGCATCTCTTTTTGGTACGAACGGAGATGAGCGTCTCCCAGAAGCACCTGGGAGAGTTCTGCGGCTCTCTCAAGCAGTACCTCAAGACTGTGGCCGGGGAACACGACTGCTTCCAGTAAGTAGAAATGTCTGCATTTCTGAAAATGGGGGGGGGGGTTGCTGTTAGAGGCAAAGTGCTATTATTGAGGCAAGTTTCCATTAGCACTGAGGAACACCTCTGGACACCGCCAAATCCTAGCAGGGCTTCCACCTACAACAGGGGTGACTTAAAATCAAAACAGACAAGATGCTGACTTTTCAATTTTTTTTTAAATGGGCCCCTTGTACCTTTGTTGACCGGGGGGGGGGAGTTTTTGTCTTGTTTTGAGAACCTCATTCTATTACCCGGTAGATTAAAATAAATTGACCACTAGGGGGCCATAAGGCATTACAAATTTTAAGGTTTAAAAGAAGTTTTACACCTGGACTGTCCCTCCTTTTTGGAAGTCTTGGGCGAACTCTGCTTCTCAGAATCTGACTTCCTTGTTTGTTCACTCAACAGAGACGGCTGTTCTTTTCCCTACCTTGGATGGTTCGGTGCTGTTCAGGCCTTAGAGAATCGCAGAGATGCAATTCCCTGTTGCCCCATTGCCGCAGCTCACTGCTGCCTCGTTAAACTAATGACCAATATTCTGCATAATGTTAATACAGGCAGCAAGGGGGGGGGAAATTAACCTATGAGTTCATTTATGCAGAAGCAGGAGACTTTTCATTTATTCCCTGAAGCGGTTTCAAGCTTCATACAGTTACATAAGGGACATGATCCTGTTGTTTAGTATAGCAAATCATGCTAGAAGGGACCCATTGAATCAATGGGGATTTCCTGAGCCTATTCTTCTGCAAGTTCCACTGGTGCAAAAGTGCCTTGCTCTTAAGTAATTTACAATGCAAAGAGTAAACCTATTTGAATCAATGAAACTGATGGAGAAGTTGACTCCCTAAATCCCCATTGAGTCAGTCAGACCTACTCTAGTACCATTTACTACCCTAAGCAACAAGGTTTCAGACAAAGTGTAAAAAAAAAAAGTTAAATCTTTTATTGACCCTATCTTAATGATGTATGTGTACCTACATTTGGGGTGGGAAGGGGTATATATGGCTTTAATAAACAAATAAGCAAATTGGCTACTTCAGCCCTATAAATGGCTCCCATCTATGGTTTATGCGAGATAAGCCGGTACTCAGTCAGACCTACTCTAGTACCATTTACTGCCCTAAGCAACAAGGTTTCAGCCAAAGTTAAAAAAAAAAAGTTAAGTCTTTTATTGACCCTATCTTAATGAAGTATGTGTACCTACATTTGGGGTGGGGAGGGGTTTTGAAAATATATATATTGTTTGGTTAATATATATCAATTGTTAATACAGTATATATAAATTGTTAATACAGTATACATAAATTGTTTATTAAAGCCATGGAATATATATCTATATCTGTATCTATATCTATCTATCTATAAATGACTTCATGGCTTTAAAATGGCCCCCATCCATGGTTCATGTGAGAGAAGCTGGTAGGTTGACACCTAGTTTATATTAATATATAACACTCTTGTCCTTGATAATCATCATCAATCATCCTCTTAGAACTGCAGAGCTGGAAGGGATCCTCTCGATCATCTAGTCCAGCTCCTGTCAAAGAGGCTCTATGGGGGAATCGAACCCACCACCTCTGGCTTCACAGCCGGAGACCTAAACCACGTCTTGACCTGCTTTCTCTCTCTTGCAGCGTCACTGCAGTGAGGCTCCCTGATGGGGTCACTTTCATTGTGTACGAGTTCTGGGAGACGGAGGAAGACTGGAAGAGGTAAGTGGGACGAGGGGAAGGGAGGAAAATTCGGACTGAATTCACACATCCTGTAGCACCCTCATGTGGATAATCTGTCAGCTGGGTGGCTCCAAGCTATTGGAAGGGAGAGCAGTTTCCATGGCTGAAATTGTCTGTCTTTCTTGCTCGCTTGCTATGTGGGGGAGGGAAGACAGACACATGGCTGAGGAAGAACAAGGAAAAGGCTGTGCGGTGCCCACGATGACACAAACGATACCCACTCTTATACTACTTTATAGTATTTGTATACTGACTTTAATACTGTTTTTTAATGGTGTAAGCTGCCTCGTGTCCTCTTAAAGAGAAAGCTGGGGTAAAAATATTTTCAATAAAAATAAATACCTTTTATTGGACCACTTTAAAAAATCAAATAGCAAATTTCATGAATGAAATCCACTTCCTCTGGAACTAACTATACCCTCTTCGTAGACTGTGCCGAAAAATGGTAGACAAGAGTGCAAAAATGGACGATACTTGTTTGTGAGGATCCACATCTTCTGGGGGGGCCTCTAGGCTTGAGATTTTTACGCCCCTCCTCCCAAGAGGTGTAAAAAAAGGCTGTCAATTACCTTGTGATTTCCCCTTCCAAACACACACACATTGCATGCTTGAAATGTAAACAGATGGGTTTTTTTTTAAGCTGGGGGGGTCACACTTTTTAGTGAAAATGGGGGGGGTGCAAATGTGAAGGCCAAAAGAGGTTTCATCTCTGGGGGAAATGAGGGATAGAAGTGGGAGGATGTTATGTGAGAGTGAGGTCCTTCCCTTTGCAATGGGACTTCAAAAAAATGTTTAATGAGATGGTTTTCCTGCTCAGCCTCTTCTGTATTTAGTGTTATGCAGACAAACTAACTGGAGAGAGAAAGAGAGAGAGGGGGGGGGGGACATCTGTCCTTTACTTCCCTTCTGAAATCGTATTCATTTGCCAACTGTGCAACCAAAGAATCTCACAGCACTTTCTCCCACTAAAAAGAAAAGCTCCCTTACTGGCTTCACTGGAGTTCAGCTGCCTACCTTGGTCAGCTGGGTGGACAGACCCATTTCAGCCACGGAAATTGGTCTCCCTTCCAACTGCTTGGAGCCACCCAGCTGCCCACATCGGTCCCCCCAGTTGCTCGGAAGCTGGATTGGCACAGCCAAGAGCCCCCGATCCAAGTTTGTTTTCTTAAGAATGTACATCTATCTTCATTCTTAAATCTGGGGCGGGGGTGGGCAAAAAAATGGTTTCGAAGCCCTCCCCTGGAGGCTAGCCCTTCTTGAATCATCTGCCAAGCTCCTAAGTCACCGCTGCTCTCCTCCGCAACCTGGCCGGGTGCCTTATAGTCCAGCAAATACGGCCCACCTGCGCCCGGGGCCTGGGGGGGGCTCTCAAGGGGCTGCCTTCATTAGGCTGAGGATCGGCCAAAGCTCCATGCACACGGAGTTGTACTAGAAAGCGGGTAAGGGGAGAGGCAGCACATGTGGGGGAAAAATACCCCCCACCCCTCCACTTTACTATTTCAAGCACTTCCAATGTTCTAAGAGCTACACAGGTAAATTTTTTACTGCAACCCCCCCCCACCTCCTCCTCCCAAACTTTTAATGGTTCAGCAGGTAGGATCTGCTGGGTGTTTTTGTTGTTGTTGTTATTGTTGTTGTCTTCCAGCCTTTCACAAGCTGGACGCCTTCCATGTACAGTATGACTGGAGATGATGCAGATTGTAGACCACCACATTTGGGAACAGGCTAGCTTGCAGGAAGTCTCTGTAATCTTAAACACACAAGGAAGGTGTCGTGTTTTGAGATGACCAGCACCCTTGGAGCTAGGGGAAGGGGGGCAGTATATAAATAAATAGCCCAGGAGTTCCCACACCACTTTGCCTCTTCTGGATTTACATGAGTCTTGGCACTCTTAAGTACTTCCTTCCTCCTTTTCTCCCTCTGAGGTCTGTTCCTGTTTCTTCTTGCTCTTTCATTTTCAGACCTGCCTACCTCAGAGTGAACTTTAGAGACTGAGTTTAAGGATTCTTCCAATGACATTTTCCTAACGGTTCCTGTCTTTCCCATCTCCTCTGAATTGCAGCTTCCAGACTTAACGATTTCTGTTCAGCAGTCTCCAGGCTGCTTCACTCCACCTAAAAGTCGGAAGTCATCCTGACATTTTTCTCCTCTTTTCTCCAGGCACCTCCAAACTCCTGCTTGTAAAAGCTTCCAGCACATCAAAGTGGACACACTGACTCAGCCCGAAGCAGTTTCCAGTGTGTCTGTGCCAGGTATGGGGCCCAAGAGCTTGGCAAATAAGGAGTTAATTAATGTAGAAATAATGTTTGCGCTAAGCTGTGCGGTATTTGGGAAGCTTGTAGGGTACAACGTCGGTTTGGTTTCCTGCCTGGAACTTGTGCTGTTTCAGGGGGACTGGGTTGCCTATCATCCTTACTGTGGGGGTGCAGAATATTGCTCCATGTTTTGTCATGAGGCTGAAGAACTCGGGCAGAACAACCACTGCTAGAAGCAGGAAAGTGGCTCACCCGCAGAGCTGAAAATGCTACGTAATCCAGCGCCAGGCTCTGCCGGCTTCTCAGAGTCAATGAAGCGATCTCTCTCAGCTTAAGCCCGAGCCAGATTCAAAACAACCCCAGGAAGCGTGAGAAACACAGAATCCTCATAGGGTTCTCCATTACGGCTGCAACCCTGTGATTACTTGAGTGGGAATCTAGAGGCCGTGGTGGCTGGGGACTCCATTCCAGGTGTGGATCCATTCCAGGTTTTATTCTGTACTTCGCTTGAGTGACTCAATGTACAGGGACCTGTTTGGGGGAATTCAGCACTCTGGAGAGCTCCTATCAAGGCCACAGCACTTCCAAAACGGGAATTACGGGTCACGACGGGTCTGTAAGGCTCCAGGGTGGTTTAGATGGTCTCCTCCCAGCACAAAGAGACAGAAGCCTGGATTTAAGCCCCCCCACCCCCCGATCCCTGCAGAAACTTCAGCTACCCTTCTTGGTTCATCCTTGTTGGTCCAGAATCTGTTATGGTGAGAAAGCATCTTGCTTATACACCACCCCATAGCACCTAAAGCACTCTCTGGGTGGTTTACAATTAAATTATGCAGGCTACACCATGCCCTGCACCCCAGCAAGCTGGGTACTCTCTTTTACCAACCTAGGATGGATGGAAGTTTTGAGTCAACCGCGAGCCATCTCCCTGGGATTGAATTCTGAGCTTGCGTGATAAAAATTTAGGATGCTGGCGGGAGCAGAAGAGGTTTTTCACAAAGAATGCAAGTGTAGGTAGATCCACCTGCTTTCTCCAGCGACCTTTCTCAGACCCCAGGAAGGTAGCAAGGGTTCAAATGGGAAGAGAAGAACCACTGCTTTCAGCTCTGTTGTAAAACCAGTGGGATAGGAATGGGGCTCATAATATATAGGAAGTTTTGAATCTGCAAACATGCCTCTGACCATATTCGTGTACGGGAGGCCATGTGTCATGCACAAAAAGGAGGAAAAAAGGATGTTCGTTTGCATGACATTGCCTGTGATGCCTCATATATACAGGTGCCAAATGAGAAGTAGATGTCCATCATAGAAGCAGAATGTCAGCAATTTCAAGGGGTACTTCATGGGAGATTAGTCACCTCAGAGCCCTGTTCTCCTCCCTACGGCTCTTTCTCTCATAGTCAGGACACCCTTTCCAAAGGAGAA